GGTGCAAGTTACATAGAAATCAAAGATATTTCCTTCAAATTTAAGTTTTGAAATTCATTGTGAATTGGAATATACATTTCATCATTCTCAATTTTTGTTTCTGTGACTTGGAATATATATTTCATTACATTGTGAAACATCTTGGATTTATTACTTAGAATATTTATTTGTGTCTTTGTTGTCCATTAACATACCTGTAGCCGTCCAATAAGTTATTAAATACTGTCCATTATTTTTAATAATGGACAGATTTTTTAACTTATTGGACGGTTACAGGTAACTTATTGGACTGTCTTGGGCCTTTCAAGGAATAGAAAGTATTAAAAGAACAAAGGATGATGTCATACTAATGTTTTAACTACGTATATTTATTTGGAAAGTCTTTTTCTATTTTTAGTCAGATGTAGAATAAATGTTATGCTCACCTGGACATCGGATGCAAGTGAAAGAATTTTATCGCCAAAGGTATCAATTTAGATGTTTGGTCAAATGTAGAAAAAAATGTTAACCAGGAGGATCGGGTACAGGTTTACATACATCACAGCTTTTCATAACGAATTGCATCAATATGGAATTTTGTCCCCCGCTTTCAATGAAAGTTGGGAATGTTTATTTGGGTTGGTCTGTTCGTCCGTCTGTCCATCTGTCTGTATTTCTGTCTGTCTATAGTACTTTTGTTTCCGCGCGATATCTCTAGAAGCCTTTGAGCTTTTGCAAATGTAATTTTACACAACTCCCTATAACCTAAAAAAGACCCCTATGATTTTGAGGTGAAAGGTCAAAATTCAAGGTCATTAATTCATTAAATCTGTCTGTTTTAACACTTTCGTTTCCGCGCGATATCTGGAGAAGCCTTTGAGTTTTTGAAATGAAATTTTACATAACATCCTCTTGTGGCCTAGGAATAACCCCTTTTTATTTTGAAGTCAAGATTGTAAATTCATACATTCCCACTGTGTATAAACCTTTGTTTGCGGGCGATATCTCAAGAAGCTTCTGAGCTTTTGCAGTGAAATTTTATACCATGACTCCCTCTGGCCCCGCAAACCTTCTCAAAGTAACCCTCCCCGTTGTTATTTTTTCAATTTCTTTTTATTAAAAGTCAACTGGAAATTTGTTGGCATCGATCATGCTGAAAGTTTTAGAGTCGTATGGCACTATTTTTAGCACAGGAACATGTGGAGAGTTATTAAAATAATACAGTCTGTCGTCGAACTTTATATTCTAATTACATCTATTAGAACTGTATAGTAAAGGCTAAATTAGACACCATTTGTGCATAATTTTGACAGTATCGAATGTCAATATGTACATGTATGTGTGACCTCCTGTTTGCATATGATTTGTATCAATGTCCAGCGCCTCGTTGGTCTAGGGGTATGATTCTCGCTTTGGACGTGAGAGTTCCCCGGTTCAAATCCCGGTCGACGCGGTACTTTTTTCAAAAAGTTTTTTTTTCAATTTACTAAATGATAAATTGTTTGTTTTTAACGTCCCTCTCGAGAATTTTCACTGATAAGGAGACGCCACCACTTGCCGGTGGAGGGCTACAAGTCTTGACCTATGCTCAGCTATCAGGGCTATTGAGCAGTGAGGAATCTTTTTCGTGCCAGCACCTACTGCGACAGAGGGAGGAGGGAGGGGGGGTTGTGACCCTCCCCCCCCCCCTTAGATTCCCGCATGCTGTTTTTTTTCTTTTTCTTAAGCAAGGGATACAAATTCTCTGAATTAGCTTGTTCGATCTGTTTTTATGCCCCTGGATCGAAAGATCCCGGGGGTATATTGTTTTTGTCCTGTCTGTTTGTTTGTCTGTCAACTATAACCTTGCCCATTACTTTTGATTGGTTGGAGCTATGACTTTCATATTTCACATGTGTATTCCTTGTGACAAGACCTTTCTTTGGGTACCATAATATTTGACCTTTTGACCTTGACCTTGGAGTTTGACCCACTTTTGCAAAATTTTATGAGACTTTAACCTTGGCCATAACTTCTGAGCAGTTGGTGCTTGGGGTTTCAACCTTCACATGTGTATTCTTTGTGACAAGGCCTTCCTTTGGATACCGTCAATTTTGACCTTTTGACCTTGACCTAGGAGTTTGACCTACTTTTGAAAAACTTTAACCTTGGCCATAACTTTTGAACGGTTAGAGCTAGGGCTTTCATACTTCACATATGTAATCCTTGTGACAAGACCTTCCTTTGGATACCAACCACTTTGACCTTTTCACCTTGACATAGGAGTTTTATCTACTTTTGAAAAACTTTACCTTGGCCATAACTTTTGAGTGGTTGATGCTAGGGCTTTCATACTTCACATGTGTAATTCTTGTGACATCACCTTCCTTTGAATACCAACCACTTTGACCCTTTGACCTTGACATAGGAGTTTTACCCACTTTTGAAAAACTTTAACCTTGGCCATAATTTTTGAATGGTTGGTGCAAGGGCTTTCAATCTTCACATATGTAATCCTTGTGACAAGACCTTCCTTAGGATACCAACCACTTTGACCCTTTGACCTTGACATAGGAGTTTGACCTACTTTTAAAAAACTTTAACCTTGGCCATAATTTTTGAATGGTTGGTGCCAGGGCTTTCATTCTTCACATATGTAATCTTTGTGACAAGACCTTCCTTTGGATACCAACCACTTTGACCTTGACAGGAGTTTGACTTACTTTTGATAAACTTTAACTTTGGCCATAACTTTTGAATGGTTGGTGCTAGGGCTTTCATATTTTACAAATGTAATCCTTGTGACAAGACCTTCCTTTTGATACCAACAACGTTGACCTTGACCTTGATTTTTTACTTACTTTTAAAAAACTTTAACCTTCACCATAACTTTTGAACAATTTCAGCTAGGGCTTTCAAATTTAACATTTTTTTATCTTTTGGCCTGGATTTTGACTTGCATTTGAGAAACTTTAACCTTCACCATAAGCTGCCATACGGGGGCATCAGTGTTTCACAAACAAATCTTGTTGGTCCCATGTAAAAAAGAAAAGTAAATTTAGTGTTTACCCGAAATATCTCTTGCAGATGAACAATTGAAAACTATTAATAATTTCTACAATCGTGATGCTGGATCTCAGCTAAACAGAGGTAGAAGTTAGTTCAATTATATATTAAAACAATTATATAATTAGCTATTACTTGAACTGTACTAACCAAGATCCCCTATCGATATAGATACTGGCCAAAAAAGATTCCTCACTACTCGATGGCAAGAAGTGCCAAGTATGGGCCTTAATGTGTAACTTCCTTTCCGCAAATGGTGACGTTCCAATCTGAGTGAAATTTTATCGAAGAGACGAAAATCAAACAAACGAACAGTTGACTTCCGGTTGATATTATGCATTTACAAGTTTTATCCGTAATTGACACAACTCTCTATTTAGAAAATAACTATAACTTATTCATCCCTATTTCACTTCTCAAAGAAGCTCTAAACACTGCACACCAAAGAGTTCTAATTGTAGGGCAACTGGATTGGTTTGCCCTTGGATGTAAGATAGACTAAGCGGTAATCGACGGTCAATAACACAAGTTGTAATGGAATAAAGTATTCTTAACATTATATTAGACCTATATTAAATGACTGAATTCATTATTTACATGAATTTTCCCAATATGAGTCACACAACAGTAATTTCTGTTAACTAATTTTTCATTGTCTTTAAACATTTTTCTTGGGAAAATATGGCAGGTATTCATGTTGAAAATTCACTAGCAAAAATCAGAATGTACACCTCTAAATGTCATAATTCTAAGTCCGACCAAAGTTCATTAGTGTTTTGATCCTCTTTTAAGCTCTAATCTTCGTTCGACAGTGTTATTATTATTCTGCAAATTTTGCATTTTATGAAATACTTGATGTGTTTGAATACCATTAAACGTCTCCAGCTCCTGTTTTAATTATTTATTCATTCAATTTTATAATTACATTTTAGCCTTTTTCCTCTGAATTGAGCAACATTACAAAAATGAATAGAAAAGGCGATGTTTTTCACAAACATAGTGATATTTTGCACCTGGATAAGAATCAACACAGGGGAAATTGTAAATACTCATAGCCCTTAGATGTATCTCCATTGTCTGGTTTGACTCACTGAGTGGACAAACATTAGGAATCGGGTTGAGGTCGTGAAATCTCCATTCACCATTCATTTTCTCTCCTTGCACCCAGACCTCAATGGGATCTACAGCTGCATATGGTGCTAAAGATATAGAATATTTAAAGTAATTTGATTTTCCATGCAAATAAAATATACGATTGCAACGAGAAAAAAAATTTATTTAAATAAATGCATTGTAAAAAAAAATCTTTTAAAGAATACAAATCGTGCAATAGGCAAAAACACAGGATAAAATAGGCATCTCCTGTAGGTTTTTTTTTTTAAGATTTATGTCGAAAAAAAAATGAAAAAATGTACTTTACATACCAACCTTTGTCTATTAAATACAAATTTAATGCTTTTGTGTAAAATTACCTAAGAATCTTTTGAATATGTCGTACATCTTCTCTGAATCAATTCTTATAGGATCCCCTCTGTCTGTTTTACAGCTGACAACTGATTGCGGGTAGGTTGTTCCTGTGTTTACGTATTTTACACAAATCTCAGAATCAAAATACTGAAATACTGTGTATCCAGCGGGGCACTGGGCTATAAGGAAAACAAAACAGATGAACTAGAAAGTTTGACTTCAAAAAAAAAGTTTGGATAATGAATCATTGTTTATTCTATTTATATGTTATATAGATGGTAATTATCTCGTAATACGTAATAATTATCTACATGTACGATTACCAGCCTTAAATGTAATTATTTCTCGCAGGCATGCTATCGAAGCCATCTTAGGACTAAGACATATCTTAAGAGATATCTTAGTCCTAAGAGAGGCCATGGAATCTCTCCTAACTTAAGACATGTCGTAAGATTTCTCCTAAAGTTAAGACATCCTAAAAGGTGTCTTAACTTTGTATATGATCAAATATGGCCGCCGCCTATGTGTTTATCCAGAGGGGAAGAAGGAGAATCCGTAGAGAACGCGTTCTCAGGGACTACAACAATCCTCTGGACTACTTAGATGATGAAAGCATCGTGAGTAAATACAGACTAACTCGACCAATGATACACAATCTATGTGCTATGTTCGAAAACGACCTTCACCGGCCAACAATGAGGTCGCGTTCACTTCCAGTGTCTCTTCAAATAATGGTAGCTCTACGTTTTTACGCCAGTGGTAGTTTTCAAGAGGTTGTAGCAGATAATCACAATATTTCTCGGCAAAGCACAGGGAATGCAATCGAAGATGTTACAAATTGTTTGACTGAAATTTCCAAACATCACATTAATATGCCAGTTGATGTAGTAGAGTTGAACAAAAAAAAGAAAGACTTTTATGAAATTGCTCATTTTCCAAACACTGTTGAGGCAATAGATTGTACACACATTAGAATGAAAGCACCAACCACATACGTCAATCGCAAAAACTATCATTCCATAAACATTCAAGAAGTATGTGATTCGACTTTGAAATTCCTAAATGTAGTTGCAAGATGGCCCGGAAGTACTCATGATGCATTTATATGGTTTAATTCGGAGTTGAAATGTCTGTGAACGGCACGATAACTGAAGGATGGTTATTAGGAGACAGTGGATACCCATTGCGCCCATGGCTGTTAACACCCGTGTTAAACCGAAAATCTCAGGCTGGGGAGAGATACAACACAGCCAATATCCGTACAAGAAACGTGATAGAGAGAGCTTTTGGTGTGCTTAAGGCTCGTTTCCGGTGCCTGGACAGTAGCGGCGGAACACTTCTGTACAATCCCGGAAAGGTGTGCAAAATATTTGTTGCGACAGCAGTGCTACACAATATGTGCATCATCGAGAGAATCCCACTCTCTGAAGGACGTGATCCCCACGATAATGGACACATACGTGCTCAACACTATGCTGAGAATTTAAATGATGATGGAGCAAATGTCAGATTAAAACTAGTAAATGAATTTTTCAGAAATTGAATGGTTGGCTGATTGCACTTTTCAACCTTATGCTTATTACATTTATCTTAAAAATATCATCATGCATATATCAAAAAACCTAGAAATACCTAAGAAGCATTACATTTATTTTATATATAAAACATGCCATACTTGAATATTTTCATTGTTATATTTGATATGAATAAGTCAGCAGTAATTGTTTATTACATTTTATTCATGTGGTGATGGGATGCTCGTGTCAGCTCCTTGGGGTATAAACTGAATACCTAACTGGCATAAATAAAGTTGATGACGTTGTTGTGATATGAGTAATTTTTATTTCTCAATTTCAAGTCTCTGCTTTTCAACTCCAAGTCTCTCCTTTTCAACTTCAAGTGTCTCCTTTTCAACAAGAAGCATCTCCTCTTCAATTCCAATTAATCTTAGGGAGCACTCATTGTCCTCATCCTGTGCATAGCGTTTCCTAGAGGACACTTTTTTGGGTGGATCCATTTCATTGCTTCCACTGGTAGACGGTTTATCTAAATAAAAAAAAGTTATTAAGTTTTACATGGAAAAATAATTTTACTCTTCCTACATTAATAGGCTATAGCATTCGTTATACCCTTGCCCACTTTTACAGCCAATAAACAACCACTAAATCTTCTTTTAAGTTATTCTCTTAATCGTTTAAATGACAAGAAAATTCATTGACAGTTTTGAGAAACAAATGCGAAGGTGAAAACATTCGATAAGTGCAGAATTTAACTTTAAATCAGCTAATGAAAAAGCGATATTGTTTTTAATATACATGTATGATATACATATTTTTACCTTGTAAGCTAATAGTGGAAGCAGAGCTGAGGCTGCATGCATCCTCGATTTCCCCACAAGTGTCCAATCCGCCGGAGACTCCTTCAATAGCCGTTGACCCGATAATTCCTACAATTTTGTCTTGGAGTGGCGTAAGCTCGGAAGGTGCCAGTCCTCCCCCGGTCTTCATGGACTCTCTCCGATTTGAGGAAATTCTCTTTTTCGTGTCACTGGCATAGGTTGACCATTTCTTCTACAGTTCTAGTCCCGATGACAAAGCGTTCACCTTCTCGCATATCCCCTCCCAAACTCGTTTTTTGGAAATATTGGTCACAACATTTGAGTGTTTGCTGAAAATAATTTCTTTATTCTTCTCCACTTCATCCAAAAGTATTTGAAGCTCCATTTCAGAAAAGTTTGGATTCCTTTTTCTGCTCATTATACAGCTGTTGTACCTTGAAGTCTTAAACTATAATACACCTTATTCAAAGTCTATGAGTGAATGAGAATAATAGCGCTAGATAGCACGGAATTCTTTCGCGGGGTACTCTCTGAGAAAAAGAAATACACGTTTGTATATAAAATTAATTTATATACATATTACTAGCTATGTAAGAATTAGTGAAATATGATATGGTATTTAAGTTTTTAAAAACTTTTTCGCAATGTGCATATTATTTTTTTATAATCTCTATCATTGAGGAGCACAGCACAGAGAGAGAGAGAGAGAGAGAATTGTATGGAAACTAAGTTTTTAATTTTTTTCTCAATGTGCATAATATTTCCATAATCTCTACCACTTAGGAGAGAGATAAAGAGAGAATCATGAAATAAAAATTATTCTTATGATAAGACTTCTCTTAATTTGCACAAAAAACAGTCTAAGTCCCAGGAATTATTGTTTATATCTTTAATACAGGTAATATTTAATGTTACAATATTTCAGAAATATCTTAAGAGTCTCCTAAGTCTATCCCAATTAGGACAGTCCTAAGATAGTTTCTATGTCTATCTTAAGAAGTGTCCTAGGACCATCCTAAAATTTGTCTTAAAACTTCTCTTAAGTCATATCTTAAGACTATTCCTAAGAGCCTTTCCATAACATGCCTGCTGGGATCTTAGACGTGTATGCGGTGGAAAGCTAGATAAGAACAAATTTTGTAAATATGTTTCCATGAAGGTTGAACGAAAAATTACTTAAGACATGGAAAGAGCATTGCTCTTGTTTTATTGTTTACGACTTAAGTTTTTTTTTTAATTTATTTATTTTATTTTCCTTTTGTTTATTTATTTATTTTGTTTTGTATTGTTTTGTTTTTGTTTTGTTTTGTTTTTTTTTTTATTTTTTTTTTGTTTTGTTTTTTGTTTTGTTTTGTTTTGTTTTGTTTTTTGTTTTTTTTTTGTTTTTGTTTTTTTTTTTTTTTTTTGTAATATCCAGCCTACTCTAAAATTCGCTTTTAACTTCAAAGAGTGAGAGGAGAAATAATTCTTGATACATAATGAAATTCTAATGATTATTTTTTAAGATATTTTAACAGTACAGAAGCTCCATTTTCAGATTTATCTGATCTTATTCAGAGCGCTTTATTTGATTAAATCTATCAATAACCTGAACGACTAGAGCGAAAAAGAGCCCGGTTGCTCATTACTGAATTTTCTTTTCATAATTTCCTCTTTAGTAAATGATGGTTATTCGGTTGTAACAACATTATAATAAAACCTAGAAATGATTTTCGCATCTAACAAAGGAAGTAGACACTATTTTCAATTATTTAATATAAAATAACTCGTAATGTTGATGCATCGGTTATTCCCTCCCTCGACATTTTGTTTATGTTTTTATTTTATTTCAGTTCTTTAAAGGGTGGTGGTTGAATTTTTTTTTTTCTTTTCAATGGTTTTCAGTATTTTTTTTTTAAATATTTCCTTTTATTACATTTTCAACAGTGAAATACTGTCATTTATTTATTGAATAAAAGTGATATTCTCTCACAATGTGAAAGGATACCAAAATGATATTCTCTCACCGTGTGAAAGGATATCAAAGTAAGTAAAAAATAATTTCTGGCCTATCATAAGATAGAGATAGTAACTAAGCATCTTGATAGTGCTAAAACTGCAAATTTCTTCCCAAATATGTTGCTAAAATCCATGCTATGTAACGTTTTCAATCACACAACTGCTAAGCTATGACGTCTCAACCGCTCAACTATGACGTCAAGCCTATGACACTGTTAAGAAAAGACAGAGGCAAAGGGAAAATCAAGGAAAATGTAATAAACAGAAAATTCAATGTTTTGTAGATGAATATGGAATTTATTTCACTCGTGAGACATGATTTTTTGATATTTTATAAATATAAATATAAAAAAAAATCCTGTCCCACTCGTGAAATAAATTCCATATTCATCTACAAAACATTGAATATCCTCTATTTATTTCCTTTTTTGTATTTTTATTTTTATTTTTATTTTTTTTTTTTTTATTTTTATTTTATTTTTTTTTTTTTTGGTTGGGGGAGGGGGGGACTCTTTCTCGTATCATTTGTATAAAATATAGGTTGCCACTTTCTTTCAAACTCCATATCGATCACTTAGAAAAGTATTACATCGTTATTTAACCTTAATCTTTTCTATTTTGTATAAAAAATTGGTTGACAATTACAAGTTGTATGTATACACTGAACGTCCTTATGTATATTATGTTGATTTTCTTATCTGTCACGAAAGATAAAGCGTATAAGCAGAGGGTATTCGATATTCTGTAATTGGATATGGCAATTATTTCACGAAAAGGACATGATTTTATACATTCACGAGTACGAAGTAAATAAATTCCATAATTAAGTTAAAAATATTGAGTTTTCTGTATATTACATTATTTTTTCTATGATTTTCCCTCATCGTCTCAAGCCACGGTCGGGAGTCCGCATATAGCTCTCTCCTACAAAACGAGAGAGGATCGTACATTTTGGCAGTGGTTTGCGACGATGATTTTCCCTTTATCTCCCACTTTTTGTAACAGTTTCATCGGCTGTGACGTCCTAGTTGAGCGATCGAGGCGTCATACATGTAGCGTAACGATTTTGAGATTGAATATATTGTAAACACGGATAAATTTCAATACTTTTGCAGCAGCTGCTTTAGTCTCTCTCTCTCTCTCTCTCTCTCTCTCTCTCTCTCTCTCTCTCTCTCATTACAGGTCAGGGAGTAATTTTTACAACAATCTTCGTTGAGAGAAGGGAAATCGAGAGTTTTTCGCACTTCTTATATTCTGTCACACTGTGACAAAATACATTTGATATTCTCTCACACTGTGACAAAATAAAGCTTTTGCTCAATAAATAAATTACAGTACTACATTGATGAAAATATTATATTTTTTAATTTAGTTCCAGTCCTTTAGATAAAAATAAACAAACTTTTTTTTATTTCTTTCTTTTATGTTTTTTAAAAAAAGGCCTGCGCGTAATTTCTTCCTACTATGTTGACACCTTGAAAATTCTTTGTCATTTTCAGGAATCGTAAAAACTAAGAAATATATTTCATGATTTAAACATAGACTTTATAGCAATTGATCAGTATATTTCATATATAGTAAAACTGTTTAAATTTTCCAATCAGTTGTAAAGTTGTAATTGATTTTAAACTTTGGGAAAAATCAACTTACGAGGCTTAAAGGAAGTCCAATCTTGACTAATTAAAGCTGTCCCCGACCCATTCACGCAGCACATACAGCGGTGATCATTGGTGTTGTAGCTGATCATGTAAAAGAAACTTAGGCTTTTGATGCATCTTACAAAACACAGAAGGATGCTTTGTATGTCGTTGTGTTGCACACATGCTGATGTTGGACTGTCATTTACCACTACGGCATAGCTATCAAAGATTTCAAATGGTTGTGCCGTCTATAATATAATCACTGTGAGAAAACTCAGGAAAACACTGACAAAATTTTTTCGATACATTGAAGCAAATATACCTCTTCTTAGACTTCTCCTTTCTGTTAAAATCAAACGCACCACCTTCAGATAACGATAATATTAATCAATATTGCTTCGAGTAAAAATGAGGAAAAAAATTCGGATCTATTGCTTCATAGTTCAGATACATTTTCATTGTCATATTGTTGATATTATTACATTCAGGGGAATATCTACCCCCCTTATATTGTCTTTCGGTGAAAATACAGATCTTTTCACTTGACCTACATGACTCGCCTATTCC